GGGGTTATTTGCCCTTATTAATTGGTTTTGTATTGTCACAGGACAGGTTTTGCTGCCAAAACATGAGTATTTTCAGCAGTGCCGGAAGGCAAACAAGTATTGATCTCGGCCCTGGCACGTAGAACAACCACCTCACTTTTACCCTCACTGTTTGTGCAGCCCGCCTCGCTCTCTCGCTCTCTCTCTACCTCACTTTTACCCTCACTGTTTGTGCAGCCCGCTTGCATACCGCAGAGCAAAGGGCCTGCCTGCCGTTCGAGACGCAACAGGCCCGACGCATTATACCGCCCTAACGGCACGACTGTCGCGTGACGGTCTCAGGTCACCTACCCCCTCCCTCTTCACCGGCTCTATTACTCACCCATCCACCCCCTTTACCCACCTCTCTCTCTCTCTCTCTCTCTCTCTCTCTCTCTCTCTCTCTCTCTCTCTCTTACTGTAACACTTTTCAGTATTAAAATATCCAGTCTACTTGAAAGCGTGTGGTGTGGCTTGGTGGCTCTGCACGTCGCGGCACGTCGCCGCACGTCGCCTCCCCGGTCCCCGATCTCAGGGGTCCAAGCCTCGCGCAGTGCTGTAAATGTTTTAACATCTAACAGTATAGATGTAAAGGGACAATTTTGTTCCTAAAAAAGAGAACGTATTTGTGCATGTATAAACCGGATGCAATTTTGTATTCCAAACTGCTAAAATTGTGTTACGCTTTACAAAATCCCTTCTGCAATTTACCTTCAGGAAAAAAATAATGAGTGAAAAAACCCCGAAAAAAAAAACCAAACACAAATCGACTGGGCCCTAATTTAGCGTGTTACTGTGACGTGTCAAAAGTAAAGTCCAACGGACTACGGTGCGCGTAAGGTTAATAGCTAAGACTAATAGCTTTGTTTCCTTCTGTTTCAGGTAAATTGGCATCGCGGACTTCGCTAGGATAAACTGACTGAGGTAAAGGTACGACTACGATGGGGCAACCGACCTTTAATTTGGCTTAGTAGTTTACTTTTGGTCTTTTTTTCTCACGTTCTCTCCAAACTTTGCTTTTGATTCTATCTAGATTTTTCTTCTACCCAGTGAGAAATGGATTTTCTTCAACTTCGATTCGATGTCGTTTAAACGTCGAAATAGTCTAATGAACGTCATTTTGTCCTCTAAATCCACGTCTTTTCGGCATTTCGACGTCGATTCGACGTTGAATCCACGTTTTTATTTCTCACTGGTTTAGAATCGTTCTGGTAAAGTTTTAAATAAAATGCTGTTAACTCTTGGCACAAAATTACGATTTTGTTGACTCTTTAAACTCGAAACGCTTATTGTTTGATTGTAAAATTATTTACCGAAAGACAAACTGTTTAAAAAATGTCATAAGACATACAAATACTATCTGTTTGACAAAGTTTGTGGTTCTCAAACAAAGTTCTATCTCGATGGTGTGCGCTTCGCTCCTGAAAAGCGACGACGTTGCTGGACGCATTTCTCCTCTTCTCCCTCCCCCGACGAGCAGCGAGGAGGCGGGTGAGCCCCTCTGGGTAGCTTTCTAACGAAGGGGACTTGATCCACTTCTCCGCAGCAGCCCTAGCCCTAGGCAGCCGGGGGCGCACTGACCCTGCGTGTCTCGCTGCCCCGTCCCTCACACCGCACCCCTGGGGCCCCCGCCACCGGGCCACCTTTCGTTGCGACGTTCTGACTTCGATACTAATTGAGTTGACTTGAACTCTGTCTCTCTTTTCCACGCCTTTTCTCTTCCCCTCCCCATCCCTTCATTCCCTTGTCTCATCCTCGGTCTCATCCGCAGCTCGCACGTCTGCAACAAAAATGTGTGCATTCTGTGCTTTTGCCTCGGTGGCGTGCTGACCCCCCCCCGCCCTGTCTCTCTTGCGCACACACACACTCACCACCCAGCGCGGCCCAAATTGAAACGAATGCCCTGTGCGTAAACGTGCCAGTTTGTCCCCGCGCTCAATGATAAAGTGCCGCTTCTGTCCCCAACCTGCCCCTCCAACCAGCCGACGCACACACAGTGTCGAGGCGGTTTGTTCTTTGCTTTCCACAATTAGCGAGAGAGAGAGAGAGAGAGAGAGAGAGAGAGAGAGAGAGA